ATTAGGAGTTACTTGTGTCAGTGACAGGTTGTGTGACATCTGGCAGTGTTGTGAATGTTAAAAGCTGTGGCCTTACTGCAAGCTGAATTACTCCCTTCATGTCCCAGTAGTACCCTCTCCTAGGCAATGTTTGAAGCTTCCTGGCAGCACAGTGGTGGCGACATGACTACATGATGGCCCACTGTAGCATGGCCTTTCTTTCCTAAGAAAGAGTAACAGAGCTTTGGTAGGGTAACCAGCACATCCTCTGGAGTCTGACTGTGGTGTCTGTGCCAGAATCCATATAAAGACGGCACTCCCTTGCTCTCACTGGCATTCTGAGAAATAGGTACATTTGACTTTTGTTGGTTCTGTATTATCTGATGTAGTCTTGAATACTGCAGGCGTTAGTTAGAAGGAAATTAGTATGCACTGGTAGTTTGTGGCACTCCAATGTTTTCTTGTTACAAGGGCAAAACTCCTTATTTTTTATGTTTACAGTGAATGCAAAAACAATCCTGTTCTTGGAGAGAAATATATCTAGGTACAGTAGTTGTTTCTGTTCCCTTTGATGAAATTTGAGGGGCTTTCCAATTTGTTGCCATGGTGAACATTGCGTTTTGAAACTTCAGTGCTAATCGAGTAGAGACAGGGAGGATTGGGGGAGCTGGTGCTATATATATATAAAATCCTTTATGTAATACATGTCAGCTCCCCGGCCTTCTCTGCTGTATTTTTAGCAAGCTTGCTCTCACGGATGAGCACCACCGTCTGAGGCTGCCGAGCAGGTTGTGAGAGAATCAGCTAAGTGATGTCAGTGCCTTGTTTAATCCTTCACTTACTGCTTTTGGACCTCACAACTCATTTATGCTGCCAGGATGTACTAAAAAAGCAGGATGTTGTACTGAAATATATCAGCGGAAACAATATTTCTGTGTATTCTTGCAATACTTTTAAATATGTTTTTGTTTTGTCATGCTTAAATTGATTTAACTTTTTTTGCTATCGCCTTCCATCCAGTTATCTCAAATTCTATATCTATATAATGCTGTCCTGGGTATAGGCTCCGGGTCTTCCTGCCTCTGAGCTGATTAAGCTTTTATTGAAAGTGATGTAATCATGAGAAATACAAAGATTTTACATTGAAACTTACAATTGTCTATTTTCTGCATCACATGTGGTGCCAACTCATAGTGTTCATTCCCATAGGAATCAAAATAGTTAGGTTCCACACCACCTAGCCCAGTCACTGAGCCACCATTGATTTATCTCAGGAGAGGGGTAATTGCATGTGGCCATTTCTTGCCGGGATGGGCTCTAGCTCCTCTGTGACACTGTATTGGATAAAGTGGTTCAGAAATGGATGGATCGGTGGTAATTCTTAAATACTGTATCTTGCCTTCAAATGTGTACTAATAAGTTTGCTTGTCATAACTATATAAAGAAAGAAGCAAGCATAAGGAAATGACCACAAAAATAAATGTAATTCAGAACTAAGCCAAGAATGGGCACAAGGCCTTAGTACTTAGTACTCAAAACCCAGAATCTGTTTTAAGCAACTGCAAAGTACAAAATTAATTTTCCCTAAAAAAACATTATGCTCTATAGAGCTTACCCTTTTTCTTATAAAATGTAGAAAATCTTGAGAATGCAGCAGTAACAAGTTTTGCTGATTCTCCTATTCACTATCTGTTGTTAACAAAGGTTTATTGAGTAGCTGTATGAAATAAAAAAAAAATTAAACACACAGAGCACAACAGAGGAGGAACTCCCAGGAGATTTCAGCAACGGCTCCTGTTAAATCTTGTTTTTCCGCTGTGTCTTTTAAAGTATTATTATTTTAATCTCTTTGTAAGTTTTCCACTGCGTCGCCACACAGAAGTTACAGAACTGACACAAAATAGAGATGAAAGTTAAATTACATGGATTTAAAAAACGGATGTGAATAAATAGAAGATTATCATTGAAGTCATAGTTGGCAAGGTAACGTATCCTGTTACAAATAGGATCTTTCTATGGAAACATAAACATCTCAAGAAGAAAAAACCCTCAGCAAGCTTATGACTTGTTAAATCCATAGAGCCCGTATGGTTGGAAAAAGATTTAAGTAAACTTAATTCGCTTGGCACAGTAACCTGCACTAACATGGCATCTGTAAAACACATCAGTAGCAGGTCTAATACTGGAAGCAGGTGGTTGGATGGAACACATACAGTCACCAGGCTTTGGAAGGACACTTCTCAAGTTATGGCAAATTTAGGAGATCGACTTTGGTTGATAAAAAAACAAGATTTGTTGGCTTAATGAGCATTTTTACATCATTTATTGTTATCAATGTCTAATTCCTCTTTGCCACAAAGTTTTCTTTAAAAAAATCCATACTGTGCATTTGAAGCTGTGTATATACAGTACAGCAAGCAAAAATAGAAGCAATGGGGAAACACCTGACAGACACATGTGTTTGAAAGGGTGATGGAGTTAGTTTCAGTGTTTCTGTTCCCTATTAAAATCCTCTGGCCTGAGCTTGGTCTTTAATTCCCAGTTTAAATCCTCTGCTTGCCACAGGTGCCGGAAGGTCTTAAACATTCTTTGGCATTGAGGGATACACAAGAAGTTACATTGTAAAGTTGCAGCTGTGTGTTGGAACACAAGACTTCACAAAACCCTAGTTTTCCTGGTGGTGTGAGGTACAGCATGCAGAGTCTAGCTAATATTTGCAGGAATTTATATAAGCTAAATACACATTTAATATTGTTATTCACATTCTTTTGTATGGATAACACTTTTATGAAGTGCTACAGTGCATCTTCAGATATAATGTAGTGATTTGTTAGAAGCCACAGGTATTAAGTGATCGTATGCTGAAGGTACCTGTTCTCAGTCAGATTTCACCTTTGGAGTTTGAGGCCTCTCATGGTGGGGTGGAGGTGCCTGGGAGGGAACAGGATGAGTACAGCTCACAGCTTTATCCCACCAGTGATCACAGAAATGATTATTCTGGTCAGCTGCTAGAAAAGCGTTTCCACTAGATTTTGAAGGAGTTTTTCAGAGTGAAGGAGAGAGAGAATGGGATGGAATGGGGATGACTTTGGGACACATCATGGTTCAGTCAGTAAAAGAGGCAGTGGAGTCACTGGGGAATAGTGACTTCTGAAACTATTTAGTGACAGAATAAGGTGAACTGGGGACAGACAATATCCCTGCCTTAGTATGATTAGAAGCAGACTCCCTAATGTAGGAATGATGCTGCAGCCCAGCACACATCCAGCAGTCTGTGTTCCTATAGCTCCCACCCTCTTACAGGATGCGTTTGTAATACATTGGCAGGATTTCTTTTGCTGACTACAGCTATTTTGTAAAAACAAAGAAGGAAGAAAGCTTTGTTTCTGAAATGCAGGAATTAAAAAAAACTAAAAAAGGCTAGTCTGGCATGTATTTCTGAACTTTAACTCCCTCATGTGAGTGCGAGAGCTTCAATAATATAATATGTAGGCAACATTCTGCATTGACACATTCTACCTCTGTTAATGCTGTTACCTTTCACACTAATGCCACTGAACTGCCCTATGTGTCTTATTCTAGATGGATTCCATGTTATTATTACTATTATTTTTTTATACAAGGTCAGTTACAGGATGCGACTTGAATAAGTTTTGTAAATGACATAACACTGAACGCGGAGTCACACAGTGATGGAATCGGGCATTTGAGGTGAAGTGGATTGGCAGCGATACAGAAATTAAGACAGTAGATGCTTGGTGGCAGCAAATACATTCATGCACTCTGCAGGCTGAACAGGTGCATTTTGGTGGTAGTGTTAGAAGGTGTATGTGTGCAGGGTATTCCACAGCTGGGCAAGGGAGGAGCCTGTTGTTACTCTCAGTTCTTTATTGCAATCAGGCAACAATGGCTTTTGTAGGCTTTCTCTCTCAAATTCTGAATTCCTGACTCTCCAGCTCTCTGTTTGCTGAAGTGCAAGGATGTGCAACCCAAAATGCTGACAGCAGTGTGGGTGCAAGTACAGCCTGTAATACTAAAGCAGTGTCTTGTCAGAGTATTGTTCTTCACGTCATGTCAGCACTTTCAAGTATCCTGAACACAGAGTAAGAAAATGATGACATAAAAGATGGTGACTGAACCAATGTGCCCTTTTTTCTTTCAGTCACAGTCCTGTTTTGAAAGGTCTGGTACTGGACTGTCCTTAAACTAAACCAGCTTCTAGTAGAGAAAATACGTGGCCATGCTTCTTAAATAATACATGTGGGTAGCTTTGTGGTAGCTATGTAAGACAAAAGTACAGAACTGTACACAAACATACCCTGCTATTCCAAAATGTGTAACCCACCTGAAACAGTGCAGGTTCATTTATGTCATGGCTGTACTGAGAGAGGTTGTAACTGAGATACTGTATTAGAAATAATCATGCTGGCTAGTCTCAGTGCATGTCGGATAAATCCTGAGTCTATCAAAGCCACACCAAGAGCTAGCAGCTCTTCAATCGGCCTGCCGACATGGAGAATAATGAAGAGCACTCAATAAATGACAGCTCAGCCCACGGCTTTTGAAATGAAGTGACTTCAGTAAGTAAGCAGGCTTTACAGCAATCACATGGTAATATTGAGTCCTGTAGTCTTCAGAACAGAAACACTCAGAGACAAAGATGGAACTAATTTTGGAAAACTGATGCTACATACCTTCAGTTAACAAATAATAGTTGGTTTTGTCTTTATGTAGTTCATTTACATTTATTTCATATTTTCATGTGTGCATATAAACCCTGGCTCACAAATCCAATGCCCTTAACGTTTCTTTTTTAATCATACTGTATATACAGTACTTCAATTCATTCTACAGAACCATGTTTATATAAAAAAAGCCCTTTCCTTACCCACATCCTATCTTGCTAGATTTGAAGTTTAATAATTTTCTGATTACTTTCAGAGTATGACAGAGCAGATGTAGCCCTGGAGCAAGAAACTGCTAATAACCCCTCTTAATCATCTGTCTCTGTTATTTAACAGATAGACCCTGCTGGGATGGAAGATGATGGAAGACAAAGGCCCTCGTGTTGCCGACTACTTTGTGGTAGCTGGCTTGACAGACTCGTCCACACCTCTGGAGGAGGAGCTTCACTTCAATGACATCTGCCACAAGACAGCAAAGCCCAAGGCCCCCATAACTGATGTTGCTGTTATCATCCGCTCGCTGGGCGAGGAGGTACCCCAGGGGTACACCTGTGTGGCCACCACGCCCTCCGGCCTCTCTGCTGACCTCAACAATGGCAGCCTAATGGGTCCCCAGATATTTCTGTGCTACAGGAGGGGCCGGGACAAGCCTCCTCTCACTGACCTTGGGTGAGAGATGGGAGGCTGGTACAGAGTGCACATGCGTGTGATGTGTGTGAATGTTAAGAATAATACTAAGACTGACAATACACTATTCAAATTATATTAAAAGTGTACATGTATACATGCTTTTCTGCTTTTTTCAGTTTGCACAGGGACCTGCAGCTGGTAAAACTTAAATGGATTAAATGGCTGTGCCATAGCAATCATTTTTCCATCCCTGTGGTTTATCACTGTGAACTCCTATGCTTTTTTCAGTGATCCTCTTCTACACTGCTGGTTTATTTATTGTAGGCATTCATTTTAACAGTCTTTAGTTGATGGGATTTAGTTAATCTCTGTTGTGTCAGCTGTCTTTGTTTGGCTTTATCAGGCAAACTCATTATTGTGTCAATTAATGGATTTGACAAATTAAGCTGTCAGGGACTACTGCTATGGAGAAAAAAACAAAAAAATTAAATGTATCTGGCATTAAAATAAAATTAATAGCATATAGCAAAAGTTACACCAGGAAATCCTAGTTGTGCATCACTTCCCTCAAACTTTCCAAAGACCACATTGAGACAATAGTGTTTAATGTTCGGTGCTCCCTGGAGGTTTCAGGACCTTTTCCAAAGAGTAGTTCCCTGTTCTCACACAGCAAAGTGCAGGCATTTTCACGTGATTCAAAATAAATCCCGTGTTTGTATTGTACTCCAGCATGGTGTTGAGTGACACTGTGTGTGAGCTCTCTGTTGTGTAAACAGTGTGTAGCAGTTCTCAGCTCCTGTAGGTCTTTTCGGAAAGAGGCCTCCCTGGCCCACCAGTAATCAGGACTCCCAGCATGTCTGAGAGAGCTGTGAGTCACGCCTAATGGATGACAAATGAAAAAAAACAAACTTACAATATGCAATTAAAGAAAGCAGTTCTTAGGTTAGCAAATGCTTTCTTTTAATATCACAGATTTATCAGGATGCTTACCTGAGGAAGCATATTAAGAAAGCCTCACCTCCACTTTTTTCATTTTTGCAATTTTGTGTACTTAAAAAAGCAACAAAAAGACCTAACCTCCTGTAAGAGGTGACTTTGAATAAAGATCTTTCGTTAATGGGACTAGGAGGTGGTAATGTATGCAGTCAGCATCCACCTGTACTGGGCTTTCTGAATATAGTGCTGTGTGTCTGCCCAGGGTCCTGTACGAGTGGAAGGAGAGGCTGAAACAGGGCTGCCAGATCATCCAGACCACGCCCTCAGGCCGCCCTGCCAACATCAGCAGCACATCATCCCAGAGAATATATGTCACGTACCGCCGAGCCCCTGATAGCCTGTCCCACACCTCCCTCGCCGTCACCGACATCTGCATCATCATCCCTGGCAAAGGGGAGACGCCCCCACACACGTTTTGCAAAGTGGACAAGAACCTCAACAGCAGCATGGTATGTTACAATGAAGTGTATAATTCCAATATTTTCAATGCCAATGACCTTATTTTTTGCAGATAAAATGGCCTTAATAATTTGTGTTTGTTTGGTAATTAATTCTGCCATCATTTCATAATGGCTATTTTATCCTAAACACTCAGTGAGATTTTCAAATTGTATGTATTTGTGGTCTGCTGGTTGGTCTTTCCTGATTGCCTGATTGATAAAAGGTGTTGATGGGGACGGTAGCAATAAAATCAGTGGTTCTCCAGTGATGGATTCATCCTGTCCCTTCGTGGCTATTCTTGGCTTTCATCATTCAGACTGTAACAGTGGGGTGATATGTATTGTTTTCATAATTGGTGACCCTAATGATCACATGTAACGTCTATTCACTAATGAGAAACAGAAAGTTTGTCTTTTCACTTATTAATGAGTTTTAGTTCTCTCACCTTTGGCCGTAGAGCACATCTCTAGCTTGCTCTCAATTTTGACATACATTCACTAATTAAACAAAATTCAGTATTCAAGTAGTGAATCCAAACCCAATCCATTGTTAAATGTCAGTTATTTTACAAAAGTCCATTCATTTTTTGCAGAGATTTCTTACAGGATGTTTTGGCAAAACTAGGTCATGTTTATGGATAGCAAATACCTTAACACAACAGCAGAAAATCTCATTCTGCTGTGTGAGCAGTGTCTTTTTTAATTTATTTATTGCAATCTTCTCTCAAACTTGAGATACCCTGGAGCAATGCTAGAAAGGCAGGCCGGTGAGACTAAAAGCAAGAATGGTACAGTCATTCTAGAGAGGTTTCAGCCAGCTTGGCTGTGCTGCAAGCTGTGAAGTGTGACAGCAGCACTGACAGCCTGGCCCAAGAATTCTCATTTAATTCTGGTTAACACGTACCCATATAGCACTGGCTCTGCAATTATAGTGCAATATATTATATTGTATACTTTGTAAAGTTTAATACTCAACCCAGCTGATTTTAAAATGTTGCATATTTACTTACTGTATGTTTCCATAGTATGTACTGTAATTGTCGTAGTCCTATATTCAAAGGGGAGCATCCCTGTCCTGCAACGGAAGATTGCAGACTATTTTTTTGTTGTGTTTTAAAACCTAAACCCATGTCTTCACCTTACAGTGGGGTTCATCAGTCTATCTTTGTTACAAGAAATCAGTGGCGAAAACCAACACCATTGCATACAAAGCAGGTGAGTTGTTCTCCTGCAAAATATTCACATTCATAGTACAGGCAGGTCCGGTCCATCTTCCCTCTTCTTCATGTCACCAAGATATACAGTACCAGGTCGGGGAAGGTTGCACTCTACAGTAATAGTTAGTCCTTATACACAGAAGCAGGTGAAGATTTTAAGACCTTTATTTTCTAAAAAAGCTGAGACCACGTGTTCACTTCTTTACATTATTTGTCTGTCTGAATAAAATAAGTACAAAATAACAGTTTTTCCTTAAATATGATGAACTTTTTTTATGAGTCTTTTAAAACTGTTCAACTAAGCATGCTTCAGAAAAACACAAATTATCTAGGGATCTGTTTTGCTCTGTGGGAAGTTTTCCCCTTGTTTGCTTGCTCATTATGCCAGTTTGGCTGGTGTATCTAATCTTTCAGAAACCAATGGGCTGTAGCTTGTTAAACATTGTATATCATTTAAGTTGCAGTGCACAGTGAAATTATTGTGACTGGAAATATTTAAAGATTATAAAAGTAATGGTATTTTCCAAGCTGGCTGTGATAAGAAGTTTACTGTATATTTATTGTTTTTTTAAATATCAGCACATACAGTAAGGTAGTGTTGTAGAGCCGATAGCATCCTGACAGAGTAACTTTCCTCATTGCATATTACGACATTGTATTCTTACTGCAGGGACAAACAGAGGAATACTATATTCACAGATTAGACAGTGCCTTACACATGTTTGGTCTTACTACCTATGCTTATTTGTGAAGTCTGCCTTTTCTTGGTTTCCAGGGCAGCATTAAAACTGTAAAATGCAGCTTGAATCTGTACCTTCTTATATGAAGGACAGCTGTTTTGTAATTGTGTAGTGCCAGCCTGGGCCATCCTGGTTTTAATTTGTTCTTCATTTGCAGACTCTTTTAAGATTCTGTCTGCAGGGTTCACCACCAGAAGTCAGTCAGATCAAAGAAATTAAAACTAAGAAGATCCCTGATTTGTTTTACTTGTAAACATGGCCAGAGGAGGACATTTGCGAGTCCTCAGCATGTAATATTTAACACATGGGTTTTGAAAAAAAAATAGGGTTACATTTCTAAAAACAAAAAATAAAAAAATTAAAAATATTCTTATAAATGGTTTGTGGCACACATTTTTATATTCAGTCATATGTGTGAGCAGTGTTTATGGTTTCCTCTGTAACCAAACAGTGGGTTCAACATGCTCTTGTCTTTTTGTTGGCTTGAAGGTCTCCTATGCAGGTACCCGGAAGAGGATTACGAATCATTTCCTTTGCCAGAGTCCGTGCCTCTGTTCTGCCTGCCTATGGGCGCCACCATCGAGTGCTGGCCCTCTCAGACCAAATACTCCCTGCCCGTCTTTTCCACCTTTGTACTGACAGGTGCCTCGGGGGAAAAGGTAACATACCGTATGGATGGGGGTGGCATCTGTCCTCATAGATGCAGCCCTTCAGTTCTTCTTGGTGTAAATGGTCGAGTTGTGCAGATATAGCAGATCTGTAGGCAGGCAGCTTTATTACTTTTCTGTAGTAGATGAGAATGAAAAAAATAAATGCTGCAATGTTAAATTTAATAGACAGGGCAGATAAAGTCTTTTGTTTTTAAAAAAGATCATTGAATGTTTTTCTTTAATTGCCGAAAGATTGCAAAACAAAATATAAAACTTCTGTTCTCAGTCAGCCTGACAGCTGGCTGAACTCAGTCTGTGGACATTATGGCCATGAGAAACTGGAAATACCTGGCAGCCACTTTGAGGACTGTGGGAAGAATAAAAATAAAACTTTAGCTTTATTTCAGGGTCACTGTGATGTGTCTTCTAGTTGCTGACAGAACTGAAATGCGTGTATGTCGGTCAGCTTTGCTAACAGAGTCTCCTGGCTCATTTAGCTAAGCAGTCAGCAAATTAGATATTGACCCTGACCATTGCGGGTTTACAGTTCAGTGTCCATCCTTGCTGATGTTGCTCACTCACCTTCCCACACTTTTGTCTCGGTGAAGCCAGGGATATGTTGATACACAGGATTGGTGTTGACCTCTGTAGGGGAAAAATACACTGACAATACAAGCACTTGAGATAAGATCTGCGACAACTTTTAACTTTTTAACTGGGAAAGTCTTATAATTATACTCCCGTCTAGTCTAGCTGCAGTGGAGGTCCTTGCATTGACTAATCTGGATTCTCTGTCTGTCTGTCTATTCGTCAAGTGTCAGGGATAACGGTGTTTCTTTCTGTCTGTCCACAGGTGTATGGTGCAGCCATTCAATTTTATGAATCCTATCCTCAAGAGAAACTGACAGACAAGCAGCGGACACAGCTGAGCCTTTCAAACACCACCCGTAAATCCATCGTTTCGAAGGCTGTACACACCAACAAGTGCATCTGTCTGCTGTCCCACTGGCCCTTCTTCGATGCCTTCAGGAAGTTCCTCACATTCCTTTACCGCTACTCAATTTCTGGACCCCATGTGTTGCCTATTGAAAAGTGAGTATTTGTACGTGCCGCAGGGAATGGGGCTGTGCACTGATTGAAGCCAGTGTCTTCCCCCTGCGGTTGGGCACACTGTCTGATAGGTTCCATGAATCGGTTTTAAAAGCCCTTGTCAATCTCTGAATACAATGGCTTCCAAATATCTTCTTGCTCTTTCTTTTTGCAGTCATGTGGAAAAATAAAAACTACAGTCCAGACAATTGAAAGTTCAATATTTAATGATTTTGTGGAATTTCAGCAACTTAATCTTTTGAAGATGCCCTGGAGTTGCTTTTATTGGAATATGGGGGGTGTTGGGTTCTGCTTGGTCATTGCTTCCCTGTAGTTTTGTTTAAAATATCTTTCCTAAGTTAGCTCTTGACATTTTAGATATCAGTACTTAAGAAAACAAAAAGAAATTGTTATGGCAAGTGCAATTAACTTTACAAAAGCTTAAAAACTATCTGCTGTTTGTACTTATTCAAAAACTAGCTGGCCTTCTCTATTTTTAATGTCTCTAATGGTATGAAGTTGTAGTATCTTATATTTGAATGTTCAGTACATTCACAGGTTAATTGTGATTTTTGTCAATATTTCTCAACCTTACAAACTACAGTGTTCTATGTAAATATATTTTTTCTCCTTTTTCAGGCACATATCTCATTTCATGCATAAAGTACCTTTCCCATCATCTCAGAGACCCAGGATTCTAGTGCAGGTAAGGAAACCAACTCCTCTGTCCATGTGCATGTGCCCAGAATATGCAGCAAGCTTTTTACAAGTCGACTGTTTTGCTGGGTGTTATGTACCTAGATCTGTGTACACAACACTGTGTATAAATCTCTGTGTGCATTTCACAGCTGTCCCCACACGATAGCCTGATGCTGAGCCAGCCTGTTTCATCACCTTTACCACTTAGGTATGTCTGATATATTGTGTAATTCAAATCTGAAACATATTTTTGTGGAACAGCTTGCATTGAGTTTATTTTTAATAGACAAAGGGTTCTTGATCTATATTTCTTTGCAACACAGTCCGAGTTATTTCTTATTTTTAACTTATTTTTGCATGTTTTAACTATCATCTAAAGGTATATAGTTAAGTTGTCAACATTCTTTTGAAATGCTTTCTATTGACGATGGAAATGGAGGAATATTCTTACTGTATTGATATTACTTTACATCTCTGTTAAATATGACTCTCTGAGTGATAATTGTTTTCAGCAATCTTGAGAGCTCTGATACCGTCTCTGATGGTGGCTGTTTTCTGTGTCTGTATCTCATAGTGGAGGCCGATTCTCCACTTTGCTGCAGAACTTGGGTCCTGAAAATGCCGTCACACTGCTGGTCTTTGCTGTCACTGAGCATAAAATCCTGGTGCACTCGCTACGGCCAGCTGTGCTGACCAGCGTGACTGAGGCCCTCGTTTCCGTGAGTGTCTATGACCCTCATCTCAGGACAGCTGCAGTGCATTGGATAGCACATACACTGAAATCATTGCAGCTTACCAAACCACATGCACGCATTCATATAAACTGAAATCATGTCCCAGAGCTTTATTATTGGCTAATGGTTCATTCCTTGTTTCCTAGATGATATTCCCTTTCCACTGGCCTTGCCCATACATCCCACTGTGCCCTCTGTCACTAGCAGATGTGCTGAGCGCCCCATGCCCCTTCATCGTAGGGGTGGACTCTCGGTATTTTGATCTGTATGATCCCCCTCCTGATGTCAGCTGTGTGGACCTGGACACTAACACCATCTCACAGTGAGTGTCAACTGAAGGGTTCAGCACGTCAGTAAGCAGAAAGCTTGTATGAATGTGTTTAAGAACAAGAGACCTATTACAACTTTTGCATGGGTGCCAGAAGGCTTCACTACCCTGTATTTTGTGTGATAACATTTTAAGAATCATTGTTCCAAGAAAGAGGAACAAAATACACTGGGATCTAAAGTTTGTCCTTGTCTTTTAACTAATGTGTATGGAACATGCTGCATATATCTACGAAGACATTTCTTTAATTGTAATACTCATAGTTTCTTGCTTCACTGCATTGGTATGTGTTATTTCTATCAGTAAAAATAATCTTCGCATTGTTTGGTTTTGTGAAGCTGCTTTTGTGCTCTATGTGCAGTATGAGTGTGGTCCCTGGATCTCAGATGTTTGTTCTCTCCCCTGTTGCTGCTGTTGCTGTGCCTAATGGATGCTGTGTTTTCAGTACTGAAGATAAGAGGGCTTTGACATGGAAAATCCTGCCAAAGAAAGCCTGCAAAAACCTGATGAATGTCCTGAATAATCTCTACCAACAACTGGCAGAAGGTTTGTGCACATTGATGAGATTACAATAATGACAGAAAAACCTTTATTTTTCCAAACACATTTCCCAGAGCTTCTCCCAATCTGTGAATGGGTGCTTCATGCATTATTTAAATGATAATATACAAACAATCTCCAACAAAAAATACAAATTCCAGATCTTCAACAAAGAATAATGTTGAGCTGCTTAAATGTAAAATGTAAGAAATAATTTTAAGATAGTGACAGTCACTTCTAGTTGTGGACAAATAAATTAAATATTTGCCATTTAAATAGTTCAGTAATTTTTTTAGAATTGTCACACCTTTTCCAAATGTCTTAATATTGCAGGGGTATTGATGGATTAAATGTGTTGTGACTGTTTTTTCCAGCCCAACAGAGACCCAGAGAGGATGGGCTGATGGAGCTAACTATGAGCGACTATGACTTCAACTCTGGGAAGACTCTGCAGACTCTGGAAATGGAGATCCAGGAAGCCTTTCTGCGATTCATGGCTTCTATTTTAAAGGGTTATCGCTCCTACCTGCGGCCCATCACACAGGCACCCTCTGAGAAGGCCACTGACGCTAGCTCCCTCTTTGACCTGCAAGGTGAGCACAGCATGAGCTCTGTTTCTGGTTTTTATATTGATTTTCTGAGAAGTACTTGTACACTGATTTTCTGAGAAGTACACTGGGTGCATACTAGACTCTAGTGCAGACCGGGTATACTAGACTCTACCCAGACCAAAGTCCATCATAAGACTCATAAGGTGAGTTGTCTTTGGGAAGATTTTTTAAGAGCTTAAACACCTGTAACACCACAAATAAGCAATGAAAGCCAAGGCAAGCTTCATTTTGAAAATTGAAGTGGCGTGAAAGGTTTAAAAGCCTTGTGCTTTTATGACGTGAAGTCAATCTTTTTTATTATGTAGCACACGGCATGAATGAAATGTGCAATAGACTTCCATTTAAATAATTTTTAGACATTCGGGGCTTTACAGTGACTTATTTGGTGTTGGAGTGGATTGTCTCTGAGCACACAGGAAAATGTCAAGTGTCTTAGCCTTTAACTCACCTGGTCCTTCATACAGATCATCCTCTCCTCTTACAGGGTTCCTGAAGAGCCGTGATCGCTCCCATCAGAAGTTTTACTCCCTCATGACCAAGACGCAGATGTTCATCCGGTTTATAGAAGAGTGCTCCTTTGTCAGTGACAAGGATGCCAGTTTGGCTTTCTTTGATGACTGCGTTGATAAAGTAAGCTTTGTAACCGTTTGTAAAGATTTCTGTTTTGGACTGATCCGTACTTTGTCATTGCTTTTCTGTGCATTCCTGTCCCTTCATTCTTTTCCTTTCCTTTATTTCTCTTGCTGTATTTCAAACAGCAAACATCTCACAGGCATTCAGTACAGTTTTAAAGGAAATTAGTTTATTTATTTGCCACCCATGTTGTATGAAGGTCATTCTGGTAACCCATCTGTAATTTTATAAAAAAAACATAATAGAAACTTCCTCTGTGATTCCATAAGTTTTTTTTAATTTAGCTTAAGTTGAATAATAAAATGTCTAGAAGAGAACATAGTAATGCATCACTGAAGTTACTTGTTTCTAAAACTTGAATTTGTCTTGGGCTCTTCTCTTTCCTTCTGATCTCATTCGCTCTGTCTGTGAAGCTGTTCAGCACAGAACGCAGTGCAGATAAAGCAACCAAGGTAAGCTTACCAGGGATAATGAGGTTTTCTATGTTTTCTATAGTTCTGCTATTGATGTGACATAGCACATGTGTAACCATTGTCATTTAGGTTAGTCATTAGTCAGATTTAGACCACCTTGGCACTTTGAATCAATGCAAAGTTTCTTCAAAATAATATTTAAGACATATTCAACAGTACAATCTGACAAATAACTAATGGTTAATTATATGAAAAATGGCTGAAGTGATCAGTAGAATAGAATGGAAAGCTCATAAAATGCTGTTATGTTGTTATGACAAGTTCTGAATTTTTTATGTCTGACTGATGTGTGCTGTATACTTAAGTCTTTTTCCAAGGTAACCTTTCATTTCTGAGATAATGTGAAATGCTTACTTAGGTATGTACTCAGTTACTGTCGTTCAGCAGGAAAGTGGGTTAAACCAGCCGTACACTTGTATGAAAGATCTTGTGTGGCAGTCTTAGATTGAGCTGTCGCTGTTAATTTGAACACTATATAGAGTTGTTATGCATGAGTAAACCACCTTTGTAGTTGAATCAGTTAACTGCTTGCAGAAAGGAAAGTCCGTTTTTTTTTACTTTTGTTCCTATATATTCTTTGCAGGAATGAAAGATACTAATTCAAAGTAAATTATTTTCTGTTTTGCATTTCTTTTGAAATACACCTTTTCTAACATGTAGTTAAGGATGGGAGATTTGGTTACTCTGAATGGCTGAATGAGGGGTTTTCCTATCCTTTCAGTGTTTTGCTGGCTAGAGACTGTCAGTGCTTGTTTTGTTTGTTTCTGCAACCTGTGTTCCAGTTGAACCATTGGGTATATTTGGTCTTGAATATTTTGAAAAGAAGCAGTAAGCAGCGTCTGTATGTTTCACTGGACATGAGCAGCCTTTTCTGGTTTACTGGGAAAGAGCAGTTTGCTCTGGTTTGGCTGGAGTTTGTTCAGAGTGAGGCCATATTGTACTTGTCCAACTAGCTTAAAAGAGGTGCAATTTTGGAAGCTTCTGCTAGGCATAGAGCCTGTGATTAATAAGGCGTGATATCATTAGGGCTGCACTCTGGGTGTAGTGTTTGTTCATGAGTCATATTTCAGAACTCAAAACCCCACATCAGGCCCCATGAGTAATCTTGATCCTACATCTTGAACAGCAGGCCCATAAGCATTTTCTTAGCTACTCTGATTACATATCCAGTATAAGTGGTCATAAGAATTGACATTTCATAAAGGAGAAATATGTTTACAGCTTTGTATATTTAACAGTACTGAACAGCAGACTGTTCCATTCAGTGTAAAAGCATAAAAATGTGACACTTATTCTTATGTTAATATTAGTTTTGAATCTACCAGGGAAATCACAGCAACTTACATCCCAGTGTATTTTGTTCCTCTTTCTTCAGATCTCTGCCTTGTTGTGTTGTTTTATGTATGGGGAATTTTATGAATGGTTCCTTTATTTTGTTACTTCTGTGTGGAAAACCTGAATCGCTGATGCGTGGAATGAGAGGCCAGCAGCTTGTTTACTCTCAGGCTCTGGCCTGTAGCAGTGGCAGTGATGCTGCATTACTTACAGCTGACAGGTCCGCTGACCCATTTTGTACAGTTGAGGGATTTTAAGGACAGTCCCCCCATCTGAAATAAACATTGAAAGAGGAAGCGAGAGAGTTTAAGTGATATATAGATAATAAAAGGATACACTTGACAGCACAGAATATTGGTGAGCCATTAGCAGTCTAGCTACAGTGAGCAAAAACTTCATACAAAATAGATTAAATATCATTCCCTCGGAGACGACAAAGTCACTTTTGTAACATGGCCCAGGAGTGACATGGTATTCTGGTAATGACAGTGATGACTATTATTGTCAATATTGTTTTAAAAAAAACGATATTGAAACAAATGCCATTCTTTTAGTTAGCCTCTCAGAGGTATTGTTGGTTGTTTAGGCAATCGTGCAGTTTATATGAAACGTAAAGAAGAAGCATCCTGCTATTTTGAATTGGCATGGCCATTATGTACTTCATTGCTTTCCAGTAGTTGTTAATAATTGAAAATCTAAGTGCATACTGCAGTGCCAGAGAAATTGGCTCTGGTGGATTTCTGGAACTCTTTAAGTTACAGCTGTTCTGAGCTCATTAAATTTCTGCAATGCCTGTGATGAAACAAGCAGCTCCAAGCAGATGTTTTAAGACTCCCATGCTCTCTGCTCTCTGAGCACTATACAGACTGTGGCCTGGGTGGGATGTTCTTATGCAAGAGTTGAAAAGGTTGCAGATTTGAACCTACAGCTTTTTGAATACAAAGTCTTCAGCCTTTACCTGACTGCACGTACAGTATCTGTTGAGTTTTATTTTCCTGTTTGTAATTGTATGTTGTGAACTCCGGGCCCGGCTGTTCAGCATTCCTAACACTCTTTCATAAACACAAACACCTGGAGAAACTTTGAGTGTAGTTTACTTTACAAGAGTAAGTAGAGTTAAGAATTGCATTTTGACATTTACCCTTATTTGGTGTGTATTTATGTTTTAGGAGGAATTAATTACTTATTCCTGGTGTTGTATCCATCATTCCATTATATAATGTAGTGTTTTTAATCTGTGTAATACCACAGCTGTAATACAGCTGTATAGCAAAGCAATGTTCTCCAATCCATCTCACACACAAGAGGTAGGTGGGTCAGCTTTGCATGCATTGCTGATCTCATTTGGCCCTTACAGTATGTATTGTGCCAGGATGTAATGCAGACTCAAACACAGACCGTCAGTCTTACTGGCTACAGAACCAGGCCCCCTTCTTTTCAGTCAGTTGGGGTTGATGTGTAGGTGTTTACCTGCCCTTGAGTTATTAACTAACAGTGGGATATTTCAGCTGTATAAATGTAATGCGACACTCCAAAGCACAGAGCTTACTGTTGCCATTGTCATGTTTGTATACCTTCCAGAAGCATTACTAAAGCACAGATGTACTGTATTAATCATGTTCAGTCTCATGTAGTGAGATTCTTCTTCTTCAACAAAACATATTTAATATAGCACACACCAAAAACACTTGAGAACCTAACTCTCAGTGCCATGGCTTCCTGTTTGTAAGGACATTAAGTAATTGGGAGCACAACAGAAACTTTAATCAACATAATGTGTTGCATTCAAATGTAATTACTGTGCAAATAAAAAGCATTCCAGGCTGTTAATGGGTGCTTATTTCTTAATGAGATGTTTGGTGTGTCAGCACCAAGGCCCAGTGCCAAGATCTGTCAAGGCTTGTTGGGTTTTTCATGTGTCTGTGAACTCCACAGCATCTTCAATAGCTCTGTACTGAGACTAGAATCTGATGGGCCCAGGACTAAGCACCAGTTTATGCAGATAAATATGCAACTAAGTGTTACAGAGGGATTCACATTTTTTAGAAGATGAGAAAACTCATCTGCATTCTATAATGTGTATCGCAGTCTTCATTAAATCTCAATGCAGGCTTGAAATAGAACTGAAAAGATTGTAAGCCCTAGAGATAAAATGCCACACCCCAGAACAGTTCTTTAATTTTTACATCAAAGGTTTCTACCTCTTTAACACTGGATGATAAACTGTACTTTGCTAGAGTTGTGTAGCCAGAGACATATCAATAATTATATGTGTATGAATTTCCAGCTGTTAGCAGCATAATCTGATATTCATTCTGTTACAAAGTTTTTGCAAGACTTTGTTTCAGCTTTCTTACTGATTTTAAAGTATAATCTTGCCAGACAGCTGTTTGAAAAAGCCAGATGGTCAGAGATCTTCACTGTGTGTTGTTTTTACTGTATGTGCAGTCCAGTATCTGGATTCTGTGCTTAGTGCAGTACTCTTACAACCCAACACCATGCTTTCTTAGTGCTATAATGTGACTGCTCACATCAAGGGTAGTATTTCTCCTCCCTCTGTAGGTGGACAGTGATCGTCAGGAGGAGACGCGTCTAATCGAACTGGATGAGTCACACCGCAGTGAGCACACTGTGTTCATCACCCCCCCAGAGCTTCCCCCTCTGCCTGAGGGAGAGGAGTATCCCCTGCAGTATAGGTACCTCAATCTTCAGTACACCGAGAAAGGGTTCTCTTATAGTAGAAAAAAAGTGTCTGAAAGAAAAGCTTTATAGGAATGTACTACAACTAAAATGTCCAAGACATTTGCTTGCCACAATCCCAAAGTACAGCTGTAGCAAAATTTCATAACTGCTATGTCATTATTGTGTTCTGTAATGTTGGAGAATAACCTACCAGTATTTAAGAAAAGGCTGTATAGAAATCTTTGCAGAACTACAGTCCAGACAATGGAATGTTGTTTTGTTTGCAATGCACCAGTCTCAGATTGTGCCACGTTCTGTGCAGTTACAATGGTTTTCCTGTGCTGAGCCTTGAGCTTCTTGACCGTCCAGAGGGGCTGCGGATCCCCACAACCCGACTAACTTCACGACCCAGCTGCCCAACCAGTCCAGCACCCATGTTCCGCCGGACCAAGCAGGTGAGACCACCGTCAGTATTCATCCTTTCTTTTGACCAGGATCGCCTTTCTTAAACAGTTATGAATCACAGTATTGCTCGACTGAGTGACAGTATTGCTCTAAAACTAGTTGCCCTTGAAGGGCAGGATGGATATAGTTGTTTTCAGAAGTGAAAGTCAATAGTTTCATTGCTTTGAGGGTAAGGGGTTCACTGGGAAGCTGACATTTCAGCTTTTATTCTTCTATTCAGTATTGGACTATGTTCTGATCTTTTCAAAAGTACCAGAAAAAGCCCCACATCCCCTTCCACATCTTTCTTTACTGTATCTGGAAGCGTGTTATGTCATAGCTTCTGAGAAATGAATCAGGTAGATATTCCAGAAATGCAGCAGGAGTCTCTGAATACTGTCACATTTTACAGGAAATTAAATCAGCGCACAAGATTGCCAAGAGGTATTCGTCAATTCCCCAGATGTGGTCTAAGTGCCTGCTGCGGCACTGTTATGGCCTGTGGTTTATCTGCCTGCCCGCCTATGTAAAGGTTTGCCACTCAAAGGTGCGCGCTCTCCGCACTGCCTACGACGTGCTGAGGAAGATGCAGATGAAGAAGCTACAGCCCCCTGATGAGGTATGGGATTTCCGAGATCTCATTTTAATAGTCTTTTGATTTTCTTTCTGGTCTAATTGTTAGTGGCTTTTTCAGGTGGTTAAAAGAGGGAAAAACATTCAGAAAAAGTCGAAAGGGAACCTTGTCCTTCAGAGCTAACTTGATGTGGGAGTTTCTCAACCACTGAAGACAGATGTCTGTCTCGTTTTTGCTGTGGATTCTGAAAGTTGTTATTTAAGTGGTGAAACCTGTACAATGTCAGTCTGGGAGTGAAGCATTCAATGAGGAAAGTTTGCTGTGATAAAGGACAATATTTGAAAATTAAGTAAATATGTAGTTTATAAAATGTCTTCCTTCTACTTTTGTTTCTGCAGGTGTGCTATCGTGTTCTGATGCAGCTCTGTGGACAGTATGGCCAGCCTGTGTTAGCAGTCCGAGTTCTCTTTGAAATGAAGAAGGCTGGGGTTCAACCTAATGCCATTACCTATGGTTACTACAATAAGGTATGTTGTCATCATAGGGAAAGAGCTCTAATGCCCTGGAAATACAGATTAATATAAAATGAAGAGGTTTGAGTAGGTAGCTGCTTCATAATGCATAGGCTGCAAAGGAAAAGATTTATTCCATGCTGAAAGGAAAAAAAAAGATGCAACATTTTGGATTTGTAGCCTTCTTCAGGTATAATTCATATTTAATCTAGTACATGAAATTGTCATGTTGATTTAACACTGGAATGTCAATGATTGTAACAGTAAGTTTTTAGAAATAGCAAATATGTGCGGTAGTTTAGTAAAATGTTTTATGCTACTCAATGTATTTTTATGATGGTGTGGTTTAAATTTCTTGATTAAGGTCTAAAAAATAAGAGCTCTTCCTTAAAATGTCAAAGACCAACTTAATTGAAAAAGCTTTCCTTGTTTCATCATTGATTTAGGTATCCTACATTGATATGACACTGGTTTTCTCTGATTTGTAAACAGAGAAAATATATGAATATTAAATCTTTTTAATCATTTGCTTGGCTAGATCAAAAAGATCATTCCAAACATCGGATAAAACTCCCAGGACACACTGAGCAAGGAATAATTTGGGATCACCTGACTATTTAAAGAAGGCGAGGAGAAATTGACTACAGAACTGCACACAGATAGCATGATGCCAAAACACTGAACACTTGACTGAGTGATGTCTCAGTCACACATTGCCATTAGCAGTACACACTTGTGCTACTGCTTTCCCAAGGACGAATTTAATAGAGAAAGAGAAAATATCCAAAGAGATTCATTAATCTGTGATCTGAAATTTGCATTTTGTCTATGACTTTCTGTCTGTCTCTGTGTGCTTAAAGATTAAATATCTTTTGCTTTCTATTCTTCAGTGTGTCTAATTTTTTATGTCCCAAATCAGATTTCCTCTTTTTATATGAACAGTAATTTCCATTCAGCCGTAATATATTTGGGCAGTGCAGTAAAGACCTCTTCTGTCTTCTCTAGGCTGTGTTAGAGAGTACCTGGCCTTCCAGCACCCGAGGTGGCTATTTCCTGTGGATGAAGTTAAGAAACGTTGTGCTCGGGGTGGCACAGTTCAGGAGAGCACTAAAGAAACAACACGTTACCCCTGTGCAAACCCCTCTCTCAGGTATGCAATCTCTCCTTAGAGCAGTTCTTGTTAGCATGACCCATTAACACAAGTGATGGACTCAAGTGTTGTCAAGAGGGCATTTGGAAAAAACAGTATTATGTGCCTGGGAGTGTGCTTGGCATGAATGAATACTGCACTTTTGGGAGACAGAGTGACGGATGTGCATTGAACAAGCACAACAAAATGTTCAGAACCATGGCAGTAGCATGTTATAATCATTGAAATGCATGAGGCAACAGAACAAAAAGGTTTTTCATGGTTAGGTTTCTCCTACTAAAAAACGCATTGAGCTGTGCTATTGCTTCAGTTGGTAATTTCCTTGAATTTCACGGGAGGACCGTAACTGGCAGTTTCCAGCGGTTTATCTCAATGGGAAACCTTCACTCCACTGTCAGATGAACCCATTAGCTTCGCAATTGGAAAGTAATCTCAGCCACCCAGCTCATACAGCAATTATGCAGTAATAAGGAAGCTGCCCGTTTCTCCATTCACAGGATTCCCTCCCTATAACTGATGTAATCTACCCATTCCCTGTACCTTTACAAGGTAGTCGGTAAAAGAAACCAACATGCAGATCTAAGTGTTCTAACTGAAATGGCCTGCGTCCATTTTATGGTGTATTTTATTTTATGGTTTTATGGTGTCTATTCAGTCGGACCAGTACATCCATATTTTCCAATTAAAAATTTTGAAAAGAGTATTTAAAAAAAGGCTTAGATTTCATTAAGGTGGCCAGATTATTTTATTAAAAATGCATATAAGTGGATTTAGAGCCCTGTTTCTGTGAATACATCATCAGGAGTCATTCAAAGCTCCACTGAGCTGAGGTTTGTCTATAAGAACATCATCTACCACACACAGAGCTCTCAGCAAGGCTCGTCTGCCATGCACTTTTCCCTGAAGGGCTTCAAGAAAAAATAAATAAGTCTGTGCAACATAGAAAGGACTGTGTAGCATTCTTCTTCAGTCATTGAAAGACAAGTCTTTTTTTCCCATCTGTAAAAATACAAATCGATCAGGCAAGTACATTCTGAAAAGGGAACTGAGCCAAACTTCTATTCACCTTGCATTCATTGCCCAGTAAAACAGTCTTTTCTCTTCAAAGACTTTATTGATTGACATTTTTGCCAGAATTTTGTTTTTGAAAAATCAGCAGATTTTCTTCTGCACTTCTTTTTATGACATACATATTGAAAAGATTTTTGCTTTCAAAGGCTAAGAATAGATCAGCTCCTAATTTATGTTTTCGTTACAAGTTATTGGTCACTGGTGAGTGTCTCATATGGTTCTACTTTGCAGTGTATGTGCAGTCCCTCACATGTAGATCTTTATTTATAACCGAGTGAAACAGGACCTCACAGAGTGCAGTGGCCCAGAGGCAAGGTTGCTAACGTGTTGTTATCTTTGAGCAGATGGCAGTGACCTGGATGCTGTCAGTCATGGCAGCCTGGATAGCTCTAACGACACTAACACCGCGGAGCAGGGCCCCTTCTCCACTGACTTAATCAAAATAGATTCCACTGACGATAGATCTAGCACAGGTATTCCTCTATCCAAGTTCCTAGAGACTATGAATTGCACTCATCATTCTAAAATCTGTCTTCTTCTCTCATTCTTTTGTGATGTTCCTCTCCCTGCCCTCCATGCTCACCTCCATACGGCCCTTCCCTTTCATGTAATATCAATGTTCTTATTTTCACATCCCTCTGATCTGTCCTGCTCCTCTGCTTGTCCCTCCACCCGCCTACACCACCTCTCTCCTGCCCCGCTCCCCCATGTCCGCGCCCATCCTGCATGGGTTCGCCCTGCATGCAGTGAGCTCTGGGTGTGGCAGTGTGGGGACGGAGAAATGGCCATCCCTTACACACTGGACTTGTTCTGACCTGAGAGACATCAGCGTCTATTCAGGTAACTGTCTCCTCTGTCTTCTTTTTTCTACACTGTCTGCTCCACTTGCCCCCTTCCAGTTGTCACCTTCTCATTATGTGCTTCCATATCCTTTTCAGGTGAACAGAATTTATGTATTGAGATATTTTGTATAATTTGTTAATTTCTTTGGTGTGTGTTTTTAGTACTAGCCTAAAGCTAGTGTAAAGCATATCATACCTTAACAGCAGCATAAAACTGATTAAAATACTTACAATTAAATGTGGATGTATATTCAGTAGAGTTTAAATGCAGGATGTATTTATGGTAAAATACATTTTCAAAAGACATACCCACAGAGGTGTAATGCACCTCTGTAAGGTGCAGCGGTGGCACTGTGGCTAAGGATCTGTGGCTGGAAGGTTGCCGGTTCAAATCCCATGGCCGCCAGAGGAATCCAACTCTGTTGGGCCCCTGAGCAAGGCCCTTAACCCCAGCTGCTCCAGGGGTGCTGTATAAATGGCTGACCCTGCGCTCTGACCCCAAGCTTCTCTCTCCCTGCTTGTGTGTGTCTCATGGAGAGCAAGCTGGGGTATGCGAAAAGACAAATTCCTAAAGCAAGAAATTGTATAGGGCCAATAAAGTGATCTTATCTTATCTCTTATCACTGAGAAAAAAAAATTCCATGTAAGTGTTACCAGTATATCAAAAAGAAAGAACCTCTTCATTAAGTGTTTTTTCCCCCAAGAAAGAACTAAAGCAAAGGACAGATATTTCACAAAATAGATGAAAGAGAGTTTGAAGACCAGATCAAGCAGCTGGTTGCCAGGAAACCCGAACTTCACTGATTTTTCTAGCAGTGGCTCTAAGGAAAAGAAATATAATCAGGGGCTATGGAGTGACTGAGCTTTAGCTGCAGCAGCTGGGTAACCTTCAAATCATTAAATTCTACATAAGTAACAGGAATCAACACCTGGTCATGTTTGTCTGCCTGCTGACTGCAGACACACTCAGTCTCTCTCTCTCTCACTGTCATGGATTTGTGGAATGTTCTGTGTCTTATGATGTGATTGCATTACTAAAATTTCCCATATATATTAATAGCAATCAGTATTGTTTGTTCTTTTATAGGCATATGTAAATACTTCCTGGGACTATCCTTGGTTTAGAAACCTTTTGAAGTGGTTTAATAATATTTACACTTATATAGCACTTTTCCGGAAACTCCACTAATAGTGCTTTACAGATAATGGGGACTCCCCACCACCACCAATGTTTAGCCCCCACCTGGATGATGTGACGGCAGACGGCAGAGTGCACATCAGCTGTCAGTGGGGAGGAGGGCAGAGTAATGAAGTAGTTCTTAAAAGAGTGATTATAAGTAGGCCATGATTGGTAAAGGACCCTGGGATTTTTAATGAGTCAGGACCTCGGTTTTATGTCTTATCCAATATATAGGCCATTTTACAGTATCACTATACAGGGGCATTAAGACCTGTACAGTCCACAGGGTGAGCACCCCCTGCTGGCCCTACTAACACCTCTTCCAGCAGCAACCTTAGTTTTTCCCAGGAGGTCTCCTATCCAGGTACTGACCAGGCCTTTCAGCAGGTTGTCAGTTATGAGTTGGAAGGTGATATGGCTGGTGGTTTGAGGGGGAAAAAAAGCAGTAGAAATTGACACTTTAATTGTGGGAGGGGTGTGTAACCTTGCCATGTAATGTGAAACCTGTAGGAGAAGGGACCAGGTAGTTTTTTGCTTGTAGTGTTGATCCAACATTATCGCTACACTGGGCTTACAAGTTTCTAGTTAAAGATAAAGCCGGTGCCGATGCAGTTACTCCTGTGTGATGTGCTCCCAGTAAAAAGCTGTCCCCGATGTGTGTGTCGCAGGAGGACAGTCTGACCTGGGGTATAACTCGCTGTCGAAGGAGGAGGTCCGGCGGGGGGGCGCAGCCAGCCAGGACAACACCCCCGACAAGGAGGATAAGAAGGAGAGCGACTCCAGCTCCTGTGAGTGCGACCGGAATCGGGCTTCGTGGCAGACACACTAGTACACCTCACTGCTTCTACTGTGCTGAACACACAGAAATATATATAGCACTGTTCTGTAGCCAGGTCCCTCTGCAGCAAGATAAACACTATTTTCCAACAGGTCAGATACTCAAATTACAATTGAATAGACTGTTTCCTATTACATGATTTTTTGTGTCCTTTCTTACTTGGCCTTTGCAGCTAGACTTATCCTGCAGTTATAGTTATAGTTTCTGTCATTTTATATTTATATATGCATTTAGATATTGTTAACAGTACATTTCTACTGTATCAGAATTTATTGAAGCGATACCACCATAGAAAAAACTGTCCAAAGTCATGCCTCTGCTGCCCCCTGTTGGGAAATGAATGTATTACACTTCTTTATATTAATCCGCAGAATAGTTGTTCTTTATCTGACTCGTATAATAATAATAATAAACTTTATTTTATTATTAAAATATATCATCCCAAAAAATCTATTCAGTTAACCTCTGTGTCTCCATTTATTAAATTGGTTAAATAAAATACCGATGTTTGTTTTTTTGTTTTTCTTGTCATTAGTATTTTGTTTTTTGTTTCTGTATTTGAATGACTTATTTTGTGTATAAACTAAGCCTAAATAAAAAGGTGCAAATGAGCCCATAGACAGATAGATACTTTATTGTGCACTGCTGTGGAAATTTGTCTTCAGCTTCTCCCACACAAGTACAAAACACACAAGCAAAACAGCAGTGTCACATGGATTCACAACAACAGTACATGATACATAGATAAATGGGGGACTACATTTACACACCTTCATTGATTAGTTTTATTGCAGTGGGAACAAAGGACTTCTTATAAATGTTTTTATTTGAATTTTGTATCCTATACCGTCTTCCTGATGGGAGTATTATGAATTGAGAATGGACTAGGTGTGTAGGATCGCTGTGATGTTCCTTGCCATTCTGAGGACTGTATTATGATATACATTGCGAGATGGGGCTGCTCAACTTCCCAGTTCCTTTTCCTGCCATTTTCACAATTCAGGAACAAACAATTTGGTTTTTCTTTTCAGCCCCAGGTTTCCATACCAAACTGGCATGTTAAATGCTAGGATACTCTCAAAGAGGCTTTTATATGCCATCTCTAGGACATGTAACCTAACATTAAAGTTCTTGAGCCTTTGACTGTGTTATAACAATAATCATGCTGGGTAGTGGGGTGTTTGAAGTTTTGCACAAGCCGCGGCTGTATGTGGAGCGTGGTGAGAGTGCCGCCTGTCTCTGCTGCCCTGCAGTGTCTGAGAGCGAGAGTCCCAAGGGCAGCGGGGACTGCCTCCCCCAGCTGGGCTACCCGGAGGCGAGCTGTACATTCCAGCCCAGCGGTGGCATCGTCCGTGCCAACTGTCCATATGACAGCTCAGCCACCGAGGCCAGCAACTCCAGCAGCGGTCAGTATGGTGTTCTTCTTCCTCTCAGGCATCATAAAGAACCAGACAATCACTTAGATAACTTCTGGAGGCCACCCAAACATCCATAATATTGTGACTTCAAGAATAACACGATACCATATCTTGCAGAACCAATGGAAGTTCCATGTAGTTCAGTTCTGATGTAGTCTGAATTGCCTTTTCTGTTAATTATCCAGTATGGATGGAGATAATTTTGAAAGAAATTCTTCTCTGACTTTGTTTCCCTTACTCTGCAGACCATGTGGCAGGCCTGCTCTTCACCACCTCCCTGGAAGAGATCGGGCTGGTTCAGAGTAGCAGTCTGCGCCGGAGGCACAAGAGTGCAGCTGAAGGAGGGGCGGGGGCACTGGACTGGGCCGGGGTCAGAGGTCGGAGACTGAGTGGGGACACAGCAGGGGGGGTGCTAGGATTGGGGATGAACAGAGGAGGGGTGCTGGAGACAGACCCGCAGAAGATTGCAGAAAAGCTGGGGGCTGATGCCAAGATACTGGCCAGTACTTTCCAGACAAAACAGACGCCAAATACTCTCATCTCAGGAGAAGGTGTTTCAGGGACAGCACAAAGGCCTACTACTTTGGACATCGGCTCAGGACACAGACCCACAGCAGGGGGCGCTCACAGGCACAGAGACAGCTTGGAGAGGGACTCCAGTGATGACGACAAAACCGAATCTCCAGCTATCTTCGACCTGGAGGACTTGGATGGGGATGCAGGTGAGGGGGAGACTCGGGCAAGGGACAAACGAGTGAGACGCATGGAGCGCAGCAGCAGCAGCAGCAGCTTCCTGGGCCAGGCGGTGAAGAGGACTGGCATCAAGAAGGGCTTCGACCCGCTGTCACTCCTGGCAGCTGAGACAGAGCAGCTGCAGGGGGAGGAGCCGGAGGGGGGTGGCGGAGACATGAGCACCCCCTCAGCCCGCCGTGACCTTGCTGAGGAGATCGAAATGTACATGAACCACATGAGCAGTCCCCTGAGCAGCCGGGCACCCAGTATGGACTTGCAGGACCCCGTGAGCCCCCAGCCTGCCTCCCGTCGCTCCAGCCTGCCCCACAGTTCCCCTCGCCCCACGGGCCTGTCCCGTTCGCGTACCTACCAGTCCCAAGGAGAGAGCCGTCCCCGAGACCGCCTGTGGTCTTCACCATCCTTCTCCCAGGGCAGCCCTCGCAGGGACCAGGAGAGAGATCCCCTGGCACTGGCCTCCCCCTCCACCTCCTCCTTTGCCTTGGACAGCCTCCTCACCCCCACACTGGATGTCTTCAAGAGTAGCGTCTTCTCCGCGGGGAAGGGTGTGGCAGAGAAAGCCAGCCGCTGGTACTCCCGGTTCGCCACCTACACAGTCCCCAGCAAGGTACTCCAGTGGACAGGGCAGAGACATTCGTCTCTGGTTTTTAATCTCAACAGCATGCTTCATAGGAAATACAGAAGTTAATAGTTACTGATAGGTCTAATGATTCCATTTCTCTGTTGAGACCTACTGAAAATGTTTCTGTTAAAGAAATGCTATTATTAAATTGCATTCTATTTTGGGTTAATATTTCTACATCTGTGTATCAGATTGCTTGTTTTGGGGGCTTTCTGAGCGCCTCCACAGTGAAGGTTCATTCTGAGCCCCAGGTGTGCTCTGTGATCCACATGTCACAGGTTCAAACCTTACTAGCCAGCTGTAACCAGAATGTCCAAGCAGTGGTGCACAATATGCAAATCTCAGCCAGTGAGAATGGTTAGGATTAGACTTTCTCAACAAAATACAAACCCCTGTGATTCCAGACATTGTACTGTAGTTAAGTTTGTAGCGAGTCAAACACAGGTAGATGAGGTCAAAGGAGCCTGTTTTTATTTCCTCATTCTCTCCATGTGGGTGCAGGAATTATCCCTGGGCCATAGAGAAGCAGTTAGCAATTCCACTTGTTAGGTTAAATGACAAAAAAGTAAACAATTCTGCTTTGTAAAATCCATGTAACTTTTTATGCAGTTACTAAAGTACACCACTAGAGGACAAAATTGGCCTGATATAAACTCAGTGTTAAAGTTGCTTTTTTTAATACCGGTTTAATATGAGAAAAATCATGTGCTATTTTAATAATTGTAATGATGGACATTTTGTGATGTATGAGCTTGTAAATTGGTTCAACATCATAGTCATTTTTTTCTTATGTATTTATCATAGTTAATGTAGACATTTAAGCACCCAGAAATTGAGTATTTACTTCTACAACATGTACAGTCTAAGGTGAGCAGTATTTAGGTACACATGATAGGTGACGTTTATACACTTATATGTGTCTTTGTAATAATTGACTTTCGTTTGTAAGGAAGTCTTTTGTTATTGTGGCCATTTGTCCTGCCTGATGTCTCAGCCTGTGCTCTCCCCTCTCTTCCTTAGGCTCAAGATGTGAACAGTGACAGGACCAGCGTCTCATCTGTGGGGGCCAGAGACCCTGACGGCTCTTCCCTGCTGGACGAGGAGCCCGGTCTGGAGCCCGAGGGGGCTGTGTCCCCCCAGCACAATGGCATCACTGGCCCCAACAAGAGCCCTAACAAGGCCAGCCCAAGCAGCCCCCCCTCGCATCACAGCACGACCCGACAACCCTGCCCCACGGGTAAACCACATGGCCCCATGAGACATCTCAATAGTGTCCAAAAGACATGCCTGGGCAGACGTAACGTTTATTGTTTCAAACTTGCATTTGATTTCAGAGGTGTAGAAATAGGTCATTTAAAGTGGTCGCTTTGTCACTGCTGTATAGTTGGGCACAGTTTTGCATAATCAATATGATATGCATAATCGAGCATGTTAGACCAAATCTTATGTCTTGTAATATTTTAATATAATAGCAGTATATCATATTGTGGTTTAAGTTTCAATTGTGTAGCATGTCGAGATATAAAAGCCAACAAGGTGACGAATTGTTTAATCAGTTTTAGTGAAAACATTGGGTGAATACATGTATACTAGCTTGCCTGAAACACAGCAAACTCTTTAAAAATGTGTCACCATTACTGCTCTTAATCTCAGCAGCAGGATGCCATGAAAGAGAATATTTTTATGTGTGCACAGCATGTTCCTCTGAATGTGTTCTCAGAGTAAGGCCAGTGAGTGAGGGTTTTATTTACTTGCTAAATAGAGAGCCAAGTCAATTTCTCATGAAGAAGTGCTGCCTGATTGGAGCACCTCAAATCACCCAGCTGTTTATGCAGTTCTAAAGGGGCTTCATAATCATTAAGTCCAGACATGCCTTTCTCTGAACCAGGAGCATTACAGCTGCCAGGAATACCATGCTGATTAGGAGTCCGCGAATGGCGGTGCTGTTTAATGTAGTCATGGTAAAAAATGGAGTGCTGTCTTGTCGTGAATGAGGTAAATCGTATAATCACCGTGAAGAGAACACACTTTACACTTTGTTCTCGACAGGATAAGTGCTGTTAAATTGCAACCCCATTCGCTTTAACTCTTTCATCTATGGAGGCTTTGTTAAGTTTAGAATCACACTATTTACATTTTTGTTAATTCTGGTGCCTTTTCATTTCAGGCTGTTTCCTGTCTTCAGCCTCCAGTTTCCCCTTGCCAGACAAATCTGAGCTGGGCTCCTCACGTTACACCAGCAACACCAGCATCTTCCAGAACTATGCCATGGAGGTAAGCTAGTTGCAGCTGGGGATCTGGGAAGCTATAATCCTTTCATCATGTATCTCCTTAGTTTCATGTTATCATACATGGCGTGTTGTTTTTAGACCAATGAAGTGCAGAGCACTTGGAAAGTGGGTGTGGTTTACCTTTTTTGAGTGAAAGGTGTAACTGTAGGGTGTGTGAGATCCCATTCTTTAGGGATGAGGAATAGATGTAGACTATATCTCAGGGATGTAGTATGTCTGTAATAATGGTTCGCCTATAGATAGTGTTTCTTCATTTAGGTATTTGAGTGCTTACTATCTTATCAGTGGAGAAGGTGTAAGGTAAGGTTGCTCCTGTGAATTCAGATCTTGGAACACATTTGTACTGTATGTGTATGCATAGGTGCTAATCTCCAGTTGCTCGCGCTGCAAGACATGTGACTGTCTGGTATATGACGAGGAGATCATGGCTGGCTGGATGGCTGATGACTCCAACCTTAATACCACCTGCCCCTTCTGTGGAAACCCCTTCCTGCCTTTCCTCAACGTGGAGATTCGGGACCTGCGGGGGCCTGGCCGGTAGGAGCAAGCTCTACACATTGCCCTTTTCCTCTGTCTCTCGGTTGATCTTCCTCTCTTTTTATCTGTTTCTAAGCTCTTTCTGTCTCTTCCTCCATATTTGTTTTTCCTTCCTTTTGTCTAAAATTGTGATTTTCGCTCTTTCATCTTTCCCTGTTTTTTTTTGCTCTTGTCTATTTCCATTTTCCTGTATTTTTCATCAACTGTCTCCTCATCCCAGGCTTCAAAACAATAGTCACGTTAGAGTTTAGTTTTGGAAAAAAGCCTGCTTTTGAGGAAAACCAAAAAATGTAACTCTCCTTTCTAGGATGGCTTCTCTAAGTTATTCTCTGTTCACTCCATTTGTGGATGTTGCATTGTTGCAATGTTTAATCTACTGTCCTAATTTACTTTCTGTCCAGGTACTTCCTGAAGAACAGTCCGTCAGTAGAGGAGGGTGTGTCGTCATCATACTCTGTCTCTACTGGGCTGGGGCCAGGGCAGTCTGCACTCCTCCCGCCTCTTCCAGCCATGGCCCTCTCCCCTCCATCTCCTAAAATCATTGTGCAGAAGTGCCCCAGCAGCAACAGGTACAAACTAGGACAAATAGCTACCGTTGCTTTAAAAACTCTCACAGTTTCCCACTATTTCCTTTCCCACAGCATTCCCTCTTTCCATGTACATCCTATGTCTTAAAAGATGTTTATGTTAAAGGATGCTAGGATGTCTTCTGACACAAGTGTGTTTATAACACCATATTTCTTCTCAGTGCGGTACATTGCCAGTCTGTGGTTTGTGTGAGAGATGGGTTTGCAAACGTCTTTGCTCTTAGTGTGGTACATATGTTGCTAACATCGTTCTTTAAACTGCTAGGTATCTGTCCAGATATTGCAGACACATTAATAAGCCCGAATTAGTCCTTTGATGGATTAACAGCCTTATTTTCGACTAGTAGAAATCCTCAATGACAAAAACTCATGCTGCCAGACATTTAACATCTTCCAGTGTGATCAGTCTGCCAATAAATCCCCTTTCTGAAAATAACTGAAAACCCTACAGCTCCATCACATCACTGAAAACATAGCCAATTCTATGAACTGCTTTGGAAACTTGTTTAAACCGTCATTATTATTTATTTTTCTGTTACTGTTTCCCGACTGTATTAATTGAATCAGGAATCCATTCCGACCCCCTCTAATTAGGATTGCTGATTATCAGATTGCTTTGATGTTGCCGTGATAGAATTGCTCTCTGGGCCCGTTTGCAGCTGAATCTGCATTTTAAATCAGAGCTCTTCACACAGGAGCACCTGGCTGCACAACAGCCAATGGCCAATCCCCAGCTCTCCATCCACCACTCTCCTCATAAAGATGGTTACCCTAGGAAAACAGAATACAGATTAGAGAATAGTGGTTAGAGACAATGAAGGCATGGTGAAACTAAGTATAGCAAAAACCAGCAAAAGTGTTTAAGAGTGCACTGAAGTACTGTACTGGAGCCCGTGTTGTTGCTACATATGTAATAACACAGTGGTTTGTTCCCTCTTGTTTCTTATTATATTTTAAAAATAAAACATTCCTAGTGACCTGGTTTATTTTTTTCTGGATTTGAAGCTGCTTCAATATCATTTACTGCCCTCTATCTCCCATGTGCATTTTTGTGTGCTCAATGTTTCCTTCTTACAGGAGCACCTCTCTTGGCTACACTCCTGCCCACTGCATTAATATCCCCACGGAGAGACGACAGAGCTCTGGGCCCTCAGGGGCCCCAGTGGTCCGCAGTGTCAGCACCTGTGAACCCCTAGAGGAGCACCCAGGCCCCCACAGAAACGGCCACTGTGTCTCCACAGGTAGCCTGCCCAGCAGACTCAACGACAGCACGGTGAGATGCTGCAGCACATCACTCTGCACAGTGTGCTACCACAGAACTGACAGACCTACAGGGACCGCTTAGAAAGTTCCTTGCAAAAGAATACATTTTGTTACTCATTTTCAACAAGTAATTTAATTTTTATGATGTAGACATCATGATGTAGACATGATGAAGACTGTACTGTTATTAAAGTTGGTTGATAATAAGAAATAAAATGGTACAAAATAAGTTACAAAAAAAAATAGATTGCATTTGAGCCTTGAAGATCTTAGTAACCTATTTATATAAATGACTCTTTACTGCGACTAAATTTGTATGTGGTAATTTGCATTTTACAATGTGACTACTGTGATGAAAGCATAAAAAAATAAATTAGGGAAGTTAACAGTTATCATGGCACTGCCTAAGTATAGCCAGGTAAAGCTATACCAGCCATACTTTATCACCATATAAACAGTCATCGCCAACTAGTCAACAATATTGTACTATTATTACAAATGCTGAGACTATAGACTAGCTTTTCTAGAGTGGGTAAAAACTTATTCTGTGATCCTTTTAAGGGTAGTTTGTGACAGATCTGTGGTGAGAACATTTTTGAGATCTGGATGCCTGTGTCTAAATCTGTTTTGATCCTGTGATATTCCGCTGCAGGATCCCCTGAGCCTGGACTGGCGTCTCCACAACCCTGAGCCCGTAACAGTTCCATACCTAAGTCCGCTGGTGCTATGGAAGGAACTGGAAAGCCTGATGGAGAACGAGGGGGACCAGGTCATCACTGTATCTGACATTGTGGACCACCATCCCATTGTGTTCTGGAACCTGGTTTGGTATTTCCGCAGGCTGGATCTGCCCAGCAACCTTCCTGGCCTCATCCTTACTTCAGAACACTGCAATCGGGGTACCCAGGTGGGCATTTCGAGACGGAGAGACTTGGGCTCACTGTTCTCCAGGCATTCTAAGGGCCACAGAGCTTTAGCAGTATTTTTCTCAAGTGTATTTATTGTTGGCTTCAGATCTGATTCATATGGTGTTAGTCATTTATATTGTTTGGTATAAACATTTATATTGTTTGTGGAGAAAAAGAGTATCCTGTCTTTTTTTGTAAAATGCTTGCATCTGTACATAACTCAATGTTAAAACAATATCTTTGTCTTGAACTGTGGGTCACAAGTTGATGAAATCAGAACATAAGGTTGATCTTCTTTTTAAATAAGTATTTAAACACTATAGTTCAGGTGGGTAGCTGCGTCAGCATGCGTAGTCAGCAAAGGAACAAGTAATAGGTTTGTTCAATGCTGATTCAGGTGTGAAGAAGGTTGAAGAAGGCTTCACAACCGAAATGTTGTGTTTTCTCTCTTCTCTTTTCAACATGGAATAAACCTATTAATTGTTCCTATTTAAACACTATTCTTTTTTCACTAGGTCTCTGCATATAAATAAAATAACTGTATAGCATGTAACTGCTTAAGTATATTGTGTTTTCAAAATTAAAATGACACAAGTACACCAAACTGACACCACCAATTTGGCCAACAAGCTTTTGTTTCACTGATCTGTGAAAAATGTTCCCTGGCCATAAGGAAATGGTCCATTCCATGCCTTTTCCCATTTTCTTGTATTTCCTATTCAGTTCAGAATGGGCACCGTGAAACTGGTTTAGGTATTGAAGTGGCGCGATGTCATTCTCTGCTGGGATGTCAGACCTTCAGTGGAGTGCACTTCCACTTGATAAACATCTAGGAAAAATAGAACTCATTTCCTGCAGCTTTAATTCGAGCATCACACAAGAGCTTTTAATCTATTAAATATAATTTGAACTAATTTCTCTATGCGTCAGAACAGTACATGCTTTAGAAAGATTGCAAAGTGAAAAATATTAAACATTAACATCCTTGCCTTTTTGCTTTTGTTTATATCCATCCATTCTGTTCTCAAATGCACTTATTCACAAATTCAGTTATCTTATGTAAAACAGCAGTCATGTGGAGCTAGTCACTATGTAAGTCACTTAGTTAATAGAAATAAAAAAGCCTTCAAAACGTAAGCATGGATTTGAAAAATAATCTATTTTAAAAGACACTTCTTACCTAACATAAAAATCTTGTGCTTACTTTCACAGAAAATAAAAACGTTATTGTCTTTTTACAGATCTTTTTGTAATGCTTTGGTACTTTCTGCAGGTGCCGCGACACTGGATGTCTGAAGACAGTAAGCATGTGTTAATCCAGATCCTCTGGGACAATCTGAAACTGCACCAGGACCCCATCCAGCCCTTCTACATCCTTTGGAACACACACAGTAAGTGTTACCCGATACGATCCACAGCTGTTTCACCAGCCGCTTGGAGGCAGGCGGGTCAGTAAGCTTTCTACGTCTTTGGCTTTGTTATCTCTACTGCAGTAGTTCCCTCCTGAGCACATACATTGAGGTATGGGTCTAGGCATTAAAGGGCATTGTCTTGTGCAGAGAAGAAACAACCTAGATCCTTAAAAACTCATGTAATCTCAGATCTTTCAAGCATAAGCATTGCTTGAACAGAGCCAAGTGTGAATGCTAACACTATGCCATACACAGTATCTGTGTCATATTAGGGTGGTGAACAGCATTTAGAAGTCATGTAAAGTTGCTTTGCCTAGTACCTGCACAGATTACAGCTCTTTTGAATGCTAACAGTACTCTATTCTCTGTTTTTCAGGTCTTAATTGCACTCTTTTAATAGAGAGTGAGTTTTTACTCTGACTATTACTTCAGCAAAATTATTTTGTTCATGTTTACCCTCAGTTTCACCCTTAATGCTTTTTATTTGCTGTAAATATATGTTTATTTCTATTTGCATCTCTTTGTTTTATACCTGCTGATGTTCCTCAGACCTACCAGCATTAATATGATCATTATTTTAATTGACGTTTTTGGCAACCCTTACAATGATAGTGATGATGCTAATAAAACGTGTATTAATAATGTAACAATACATATTTTAATGAATTATAGCTTTTATACTTGTATTCCCCAATACAATTAGGAAAAAATATTGTCATTTTAAAAATTCTGCTGCTCTAAATGTAGGATTTATGTCTCTTTATTTATAAAATAGACATGAATTCCGTTTCTTGAATAAAAAAAGTGACAAATGTTTGTGGCAAATCTCAAATATGCTCAGATATTGAAGATGTATTGGTATTTGTTTTTTTTTTATAGTTGCTTGCACAGCATTTGATTCTGTGTTGCTGTTTTGTTTCCAGACGGTGGTGGTTTCAGCTGTGTGTCCCAGTGTTGTAGTGTGAGTGGGGCTGGCCTTGATGTGTGAGTCTTGCAGTGTTGCTCAGTGAGGTCTGACATGCTCTCTGCCCTCCTGCAGGCCTGAACTACCCGGTGATGAGCTCAGTACGAGAGGAAGAGGAGCCTTTTGGAGAGGAGCTGCTGCAGAGTGTGGTGAAGAGCATCCAGATGAATGACGTGTACCGGCCCATGAGTCAGGTCCTAGAGATCCTGGGACAGCAGCTGGGCATGAACAGGCAGAGGTGAGGGCCAAGGAACTGAAAAATCTCTTTCATGCTCAGTGATGTGCATGCTTGGAAAAAAATGTGGTAGGCCAATAATTCTAGTCATCCATCTGACTTTTTTATTAACATATTAAGTTAATATATGCTGAACAAGTATAATATAATGATAGTTTTCTCATATTTGCAATTTATATTTGCAATTTTTGTTATTTTCATATTTAATCACCTATCTAACATGTTATATGGATGTATCCTAAGACTTTCATAACATTTTCCTAAATGAGGAGTGAATATCACTAACAGGGTCAAGTGTTCACTGAACACTGAGAGTGTGTAATTCAGAAGAGATAGACAATGGTAATAGAAGTCATTCTTTTCAATGTGTGTCTTACAGGAGCTTGTACAGGGATATCCTGTTCCTATCGCTGGTCGCTCTGGGCAAAGACAACATTGACATTGGTGAGTGGGACTGCTTTACACAGTCTTCAGAGAAGCTCCATTGTAAGGTCTGCCTTGAGCTAAAATAACCAGAATAGAAAGTTGAGTATATCTACCAAAAGTATGTCTAGCTAGCATGGTATATGATGCTATATAGCAAACCCATTAAAAAATGATAATTAGTGAAATTTTATTAGTTCTGTCATATAAAGAATTCAGTGTCTGTTAGTTTTGTCTCATTTTCAAATTCAATAAAAATAACTTGTTTTAATCAATGTCATTATTAAAGAATTATGAATATTTAATACAAAATGGTGCCAAAAAAGTTTTCCTTCATAAAGTCTCCAGGCTCTGTTTCTTCAGCATGTGCTTTCTTGCCCACACAGATGCGTTTGACAGAGAGTACAAGATGGCATACGACCGGCTCACCCCCCGCCAGGTCAAGCTGACACACAACTGTGACCGGCCCCCCAGTGCCGGGGTCATGGAGTGCCGCAGGACCTTCGGGGAGCCTTACTTGTGACCCCACGCCTCCGCCCCTCTCCAGCCTGCTTCTGCTGCTGCTGTACAGACACAGCTGTGTCCACTGCCTACCCCCTGCCGTCTCCCTGCTGCAGTCTGCGCACCTGCCCCGCAGGCCAGGCCTGCCAGTCCGCAGGGCCCAGCATGCAAACTGCCAAAGCTGTAAGAGAGCCGCCTTACCCGTCACTCCCTCTAGGCCTTTACAGCCTCCCCACCTGCCCCTTTTCCAGGAGGGGGACCTATCTGTTTCTGCCCCCAGTGTTGCAGTGGTGACCATCTGAAGGAAGGCCCAGTTAGCAACCCCGATTTTCTCATCTCCCCACACTGATGTCTTCGATTGAGGTCGACTCCTTAGCACTCTGACAAAGGCCTGGAGAGATTAGGGTGCCAGTGTAAAGAAATGGTGCTGTGCCCAGTGGCCAGACTCACACACTAGTCTAGGGGAGTGCCACCCCGTTGTACATTCTGGCGAGGAATAGAGTGACTGTTTATTTCGCAAATTGTTTGCACAATGTGTACCAGGCTTCATTAATATAAAACCTTTTATCTGTGCTAGACACTAGACAATAAAAATGATGTGGTATTACGGGGTAATTTTAAAGATTATACAGAAATGAAACTGTAAAGGTTATGTTGGATACAATGCAAATGTACTGTATATAGAACATTAGATTTTTTTATAAAAGAACATTTGTATTATATAGTCATATGATATAAAGATTAAATATTGGCAATATTTTACCTAACTTTGGAACTGTTTATACAAACCGTCTTTATTTATTACAGTTTGTCTTAAGTTTTTATGCGGGCTTTTGTAGTGGTTGTCTGTTATTACTAGTCCAGGTGACAGTTTGTTACCATGGTTATGTAAATGTTGACTGTTAGTAAGACCCAGTGCGTCTGTTCAGTGTGCACCACATTTATGCCTCTTTTTCAAATGTAAACTTTATTTTTAAACTTAAGGTCTTTGTTTTTAGGTTTAGATACAGATCCAGGCTAAGAATATAGTCATGTGAACCATGGCTATGAGAATCACAGTCCCTGGATAGGTGTGCTCATTTTGGTTTGGTTAAAATTTGGGCTGAACAGATTTGCAAAACGACTCACCTATGGTAAGTTGCTTTTGCATTCTAACTTTATTTGGTCCAGATTTCACTGTCCACTACAGAGAAGTTAGCTAATCCAGTTAGAAAAGGCACATCTCCTGAAACCCAGTGCACCTGTAATCTTTTCCAATAGGAACAAGTAATTTCTTTACAAACTGAGGGCAAACAGCCTAAAACAGACAAGATATTCCTGGTGGTGTCTCAGAGAGTGTAGTAGGGTCATCTGTTACTCCGTTGGTTTAGAATGTTTAAAAGGATGTTGGTGGGCATTATGTCATTTAGTGCTATTTTCTTTGCCTGCAGACGTCATGGGTAAAGGGACAATGAAAGTATTGTTGAGTATTATCATCTTGTTATCATCAACATGCTGCATGAGGTCCATTTTGATTGGTTTCTGAAGTGAGAGTAAACACTGTTACTGGCTGTTCAGAGGAGCTGGGCCTCCAGACCCAGTTTTAGGTGGAAAGGGAGAGGTTTTCATTAATGTTGCTCAGGTTTCTTAAAATGTTCTATCCTGCAGAAGAGTCTGGAAGGTGAAGTCACCTTTTCCCTGTGTGTAATGTGCATACCTGTCCTGCTCTCTGGTCTTGCATTTCATCCCGGATCACAAGGACTAGAACTGCAGACAGCACATACAGCTGAGATTGTTTTATAATGTTGTTGCATGGCTAACATCACTTATCTAATTAATGTTAAGAAAGCATTTATCATATCAGTTTTAAATTTAAAAACTGCTGCAATTGTGTTGAGGTTTTCAATTCAAGGGCCTTACTCTACATCTTCAACAGCAAATTTTCAAAATGTTTGCACAAAATTTTAAAAATATATTGCAATTGCTTTCTACATCTAAGGATGTTTTTCTTCTAGCTTTATGTAATTTATGTCTTTAATGTAAAATGCCTTTGTATTATTACATTGATTATACTGTACATAACATCCATAATATTAGAAAACCAAAAAATAAGTGTACATCCAAAAATGTTCATATGTTTTAACAGCACTTTTTAAACTGCTCATAACATGGATTTTAAACTGCTTAAAGAAGAAATGAAAAGCAGTGTTACTTTAAATTTGTCCTAGTATAGCAATACCATTAGCCTTTAGATGTGTTCGCAAGTCTTCACTAAATGTAAGATCTTCAAAATGTGATTGAAAAGCAACTAATTGTGAGTTTTATGCTTCTGATGGACATGTGTACATAATGAAGCAAACACTCTGTACAGCTGCCAAAACCACTGGAGTATACTCACGAAGACCATACAGAATACTGTATAGACTATTAAATTATAACTCATAGAGTACCTGTATGTTTCATTACAAGTGTACTAAATAGCAGCTACAGTTTACAGAAATACTGTACTTCATATATAGCTTTTTCATAAGTTATAGGAATGTAGTGCAGCATACTCCAGTGTTTTTGCACTTTTTTGTTTTAGCTTTTTGTGGGGTGAACACAGCACTTCACACAGTTACCTTGTGTTAGTCAGGTGAGCCTGAAGCTCAACAGCAATGAAAAGTTACTTGGTTTGTGCCAACTGTACATGGAACAAACCAGATGTGGATAGGAACACAATCCATGTGAATATTCAAATTTGTACAGAGAACATCTGTCTACTGCCTTGACTTCCAATGCTTTTAAAATCTTTTGGTGCTGTCTGGAATCTTTTTCTGTGTGTTTGCTGGGCAGTCAGTTCCTTACTAGTTAGTCTAAGTTAGGACTTGCACTTGGCTCACAGTTTAGATGCTTTATAAAGCTGAGGAGTTATCCATACATCTTTGAAGACATTATATTAAACTATTTAAAAATAAAAGTGTAAATTGAAGTGTTATTAATAGAAAATGTATAAATAAGTGGTACTCTTAATGCTTTACATATGTTTTCTGTTAAAATAAATTTATTTATATATAAGTGTTTAGATTTTTTAAAATGTAATGTTTGTGAAGTCATGCAGAAATGAAGCTTTTCTTAGCAGTACAATCAGTAGCCTGGATGAAGCAAGATGTGCAGTGGGAATCCTTCATGGTGTGACTGACCCTGGTTCACAGACATCTCATTCAGAAATGAATCAATGTGATCTCTGTATGAGCAGATACCAGGCACCACACCTCACAGTCTTTAAGGCTGCCTTGTAGACAGAAGACATTGGTCCCCAAAGGTGTTTTGTGGTTGATAAATTTATATGTACTATTTACAGCTATATTACTCCAGTTTAAGGGCATTTAAATTACAGGCTTATAATACGTCCAGAAATGTATTTTACATCATTAAAAAAAAATTCTGATTATTGGAGGGTTAATCCGTCTACATTATGCAGATGGGGCTTTATGATGTTACACTACACTACCTTGAGTGATAAATGACTGTTGATTGGAGGAGGAATTACAGAAATTATGTATTTAATTGGATGTTAGTTAACACAATTGTATACATAGACAGTATTTACCTTCATTTTAGATTTTAATGAGGAACTGCAGTAAAGAAAAGAAAATTACATTGCTGCAAAATTTAGGTGAACACAGTTATGGTTTTGTTCTCCTGTAAGTGTTTCAGCATGGAATTCTAAGCACATTTTCTGAGCTGGTGTCTAGTGCTGTGGCTGCAGGAGGAAGTCCTTTTAAAAGGAGTCCAATGAAATACAGCTACATCCCTGACAGACCGCTGGTGAAGCAGTTCCTCTGTCCCTCACATCAGCAGTAATCATGGGGCAAGCTCTGAAGAGTGCTATGCAAGTGTGTTCATGCTGCTACTTATCAATGTAAAGTGATTATTAATTTTTCACAAAGCAGTTTTAACAGTTCACCCCAACTGGCAACATGCAGTACATGCAGAGGAAATGTAACTGAATGCCTAGACCATCACATTATCTGTTATATAGAAGGGGCACTTTAAAAAATAAAGAAAATACTGAGACATCTCCTCATACCTCTGGACTATTTAGTGCATATAGGACATTGTAAAATTTATCAGCTCTTTGCTATTTTTTTGTAATTTCTGAATTCTTCATAGTGTTTGAAATGTTTACAGAACTGTACAGAAAGCCAGTCTGGGTCTTGGGAATGGGCAACAAATTCTGTGTTTGAATCTGCATGGTACTTTGTAATTCTGTAAATAAATTCACTCATACTGTAAATCCACTCTCTTTTTTGGTGTTTTCTTCCTATGTGGTTGTAGATTTGTATTTTGGGGTATCGCATAGCGGTACAAGGTAAATGCTATAATTGTCATTTGTCTTAATGACATATACTTCCCCACAAAGCGATTTTTAATCTGTTTACCATTTAAGATGAGTGCATTTCAAACTGCTTGCTTGCTGTCTGCTTCCAAATATGTCCTATGTTAGTCTACTTAAAATGGAGCTACTTTCTGGTAAAAACTAAAATTCTTTGTATGTTGCTGAACTTGCAGACAAAAGTTTACTTTTTTCTTAGTTTTTTTTTTTATTGTAGCAGGAAAAACACACTTGAGACCATTCGGGTAAGTCTTTTTGTTTCATCAAACAAAATATCCTTGCATCATAGATTACATAAAATACATTGAATGTCTTTACAAAAAAATAAATATAAGCTTATCTGAAGAGCAATCTCCGGATAATCCAAGGGGATTGATAATTGACTTTTAGACAGAATGCAGCAAAACATTGTTTCAATTTAATGTACATTTTTTTTAAATAATATTACAAATCACTTACAATTTAGAATCTATATACTGGCTTCTAGGTCAGCCCTTATGTTTATGCTGAATCAGATCTGTATCAACATGTCACAAATGCATAAATAAAAGGTGGCTATCAAACTTGTTGAGTTAATGCAGGTGAAACCTAGTGAGAGCCAAGTTTATAACAACCACAGATTAATCATGTATTTTCTCAAGATTGTTCTAATTTAAAAATTACAGGCTTTCACAAGTTTGGGTTTTCAAAATACTATAAAAATTCTAAAACTCACATTCTGAACCAACCATTTAAATCATGTCAGAAATCAGTGACCACTTTTTTTATCTGTTAAATTTCCTATTTACAATCAGTAGATAGAGTGTATTGGAATTATTTGAAATTTGCAATATGCGTTAAGTTTGTATTCTTTGGTAACAAACAATTGAACACATTTTAAACTAAAGTTACTAGCTTTGTAAACAGTGTTGTGATTAACTGCAGAAAGACCGAAATGTTTCACTGTTCATGAATAGTATAAAACACTTGAAACGTGTTGTTTCTCTCAAGCATGTGATTTTATCTAAGCAGAACACCTTGTGGAAACCTATGTTTTAGAGAAAATATACCACCCAAGATTGGCAAAACTGAATTACAGAAATGTATAGCCTTTCATTCTAGTATCATTCTGATTAACGTGGTACAGCAATTTCCAATGCTGCAAATACATGTATATACAGTACTGTATTTTTATTACATCAAAACACTTTCATAATTTCTCCCCCAAAGCACACACGTACAGTGTATGGCAATAAATCAAATCAAGCGTTTCCAGAATACCATACTGTTTAACTTTCCAACATGAAAATGGCAATACTGTACGTTTAAAGTATTCAGATGTGCACCAAAAATCATCCTATTCAGGCATTTAAAATAGGATGGAGAGAACAATAGCATATGAGTGCATGCTTCTCTTTTTTAACCTTGTACTGAGTTATTATATCTTAGATTCTCAGGCTCTATTTCCTCTTCCTTTTTTATGTCAAAATGTGATTGTATGATGTTGGCAGTGTGTTGTGGATTGTAGGTACAGTATATGAGCATTACTTTCTGGGACAAAATACTCCCTTTTAATTCATCTGAGTGAATTTATTTGAAGTAAACCCCTTTTATTTAATGCACCTTTTAAAGACGTTCATACCTGCAGGAGTACAAGTTACTCTGAATTTACTCAGGACTGAAAATGCTCTCAAATAGTTAAATACTTTTGAATTATCTATACTAAACTTTGTGAGTTCTTTTATTTTTGTAAGATTGACATCTTTTTATTTTATGATGTGCACTTTAATTTTAAACACAACTATTTTTCTCGGTGCAAGACTCCTGCATGGATGCATGCTGATGAATGTCTGCTGTGCTTGGTTTTGAGTGTTTGAGAGATTTAAGAGTTAGTTAGCATTAAATGATTAGACATCTGCAGAACGTACTGAACTTTGTCCTCTGAGGAGTTTCCAAGGTGTGTACCAGTCCAAAACACAAACAGGATGTGCAAATTGTGTGCCCAAAAACTACTGCCCATTATCAGTATTTTTCTTTCCAATACATTGCCTGTCAAAGGTTAATTTAATTTGAATACGATACAGTTTTTAGTTTACTCTCTGGACAAAAAATAAAATCTCATCACATTCCTGAAACTGAATTCCCAAACATTTGTTTTCCAAAAAAATCATTTTAAATAAGAAACGTACATGAACTAACCCTTCGCCAAGAGACTATCCTCACTGGGTCATTTTGCATACAGCAGGTGAGAAAATCAAAAATAAAAATGTTTTGTGAAACAAAATGTAAGGTAGTACGTCACTTTCACTTTCATGAGGGGGTTTGTCGGGAGAGGTGTACATTATACTACTGACTGGTGAAGCTCAGTTCCTCTGCACACTATATAACTCTAAAAACTGAAAGTGAGGAAAAAGAGCCAGGCTTATAGGTGACTTTTACCTTGTTAATATTGACTGACCTTATCATTATCATTGTTATACCCCATTCACACCAAGCCTTTGAAACCATTATTACAGGCAAATCCTACAGTGATCTCAGCCCCCTCTGAGGATTACTTACACTAAAACTCATTGTGCTTGGCCAGAACTCACCCCAGCTTTTCCCAAAAAAGACCCTTCGCTGCATTTTAACTATGCTAAAGTGGGCGGTGTGAACAAGCCAATTAAGTTATTAACTGCTTTAGAGTGTTGAAAAACTATTTAGTTACATTAGTGATTAGTCCCACTTCCATGAAGCTTTTTAGATAGGGTGTGAAATGGAACACCAGAGAGACTGTTTGACCTTTATGTTGCGAATTATAGGAGCACCAATTCACCTCCATAACTCAATCTTTGACACCCTGAAAACATTCGCCACCCGCATAGTTAGATGAGTCCAAATGTGTGCATACTCTACATATCGGCCATCAGCTTTCTTTGGCAACCAATACCACCACTTAAAAAGGTCGCATAGCCTTTGTTCTCCACCAGTTGATGACTTGCATTGCTATAAAGAGAACTCAAATGAATGATGGGATATTGTTCCAGAGGTCCATGGATTAGGATTAGAACTGGGAGTTCAATTCCTGAACTGTGTTTTGGATAGATCTGTTTTGTGAAAAAGAGACTGCAGTTCATTCTTAGATTATAGTATTTTGGGAGAAACATGTTTGAGGGCATGGGTTTAGATGGACAGCAAGTTTGTTTTCGGACAGCTGGAAAGTGAATGTTTTTTTTCCCCCATGAACAGTGGCTTTGGAGGGGTTTCTATGAAGGTATGTAAATGTGCATCTGGGGGAGAGAGTGGCTTCCGTGAAAATGATCGTGGGCAGTGCATATCTGAGTTCGTGCGTGTGTTGAAGTCCTCAGATGGACACAGGACAGATGATAATACGGTCCTCCAGCATGACACTGACCACCAGGAACAGGAAATAGAGGCCGAACATGGTGCAGCCCAGCAGCTTGTTCATCCTCCACTTGCAGACAGCGATGGAGATGATGACGAAGAGCAGCATGAGGAAGAGGAGCACAATGGCACAGAAGAGCCCGTTACTGCTGACCTGTACTGGCACCATTCCGTTAAACACAGTATACATCAGCCAGGGCACTGGGAGACTGCAGGGGAGAAAGAACACAGCACCTGTCAAATTTCAACAACCGCATAGACACGCTTCTGCCCAGTTTATCTGAGAACTAGGTGCCACGATGAGTAAAATCATGGTCTTCAGCCCCACATGGAAGAAATAGATGATTTTTTCCAGTATGGAAAAAGTTTTTTTTATAAGCCTAAACAGCTTTATACACCTTAAAGCCTACTGTCTGAATCAGGTGAATGAAGCTTTAAAATTAGTTTGTGAGCCATTCTCTGTGAAACAAGTGTTACATGATTTACTTTTTTGTTTTGAAACACACAGGCACATGGGCCTGGAACAGATACACGTGTCTGATTTCTTTTGTGGCAAAACAGCATTCCCATGTTATTCCACCAGGACAAGGAACTAGACCTCAGTTACATTCTATGGTGCTACTGTGAGAGAGGGACTAAAGGAGTGAATTGAGCTGGGTTTCTTCAAAGATTTGGTGTCAGTGCTGGGTTGCTGTAAGGACTGCAACATGGTTAGTTGTGGCCTCACTCACCCCTCAGGCACAGCCATATGGTCACCCGTGACAGTGGCGGGCCGTCTGGTCCTTTTTCACTCACCCCACAGTGATGTCGAAGATGTTGCTGCCCACAGAGCTGGACACGGCCATGTCCCCCAGCCCCTTTCTCGCCACAATGACACTGGTGATGAGGTCAGGGATGGACGTGCCTGCCGCCAGGATTGTCAGCCCCATTATTTCCTCCGAGATGCCAATGGTCTCCCCCACCTGGGCAAACGCACACATACAACTGTTTTTCAACACCACCCGCACTGTGAGTGCAGTACACATTTCCCTCTGTACAGAATAAATCTGCAGGGAGCAGAAGCTCATTGTTTCTTCAGCTGCGTTACAAATGAGTCGATTGAAATGTGGTCTAAAGCCTGTGATCTTATGAGCTGCTTTGTTCTACCTAAGCATCTAGGTAAGCTAACAGAGAGTGTACCAGGACTCCTGTGTGGGACTGTAGTGAAGGCTAAACGTTAAACTTGAGTTTCCATTGAATTATGAATCCAAAATGATCACGTTTATTCTCAAGAGAGAAAATGAGGAAAAATGGCTTGGTTTCTGTATTTCTCCTTGGCTTGTTTCTCCCCTACCCTTCCAACAACATAAGATAAATGCCCTTTAAGCTTACGTCCACTCAGTAAAACCAGACAAGGCAAACAAAAATGCTACCAAACAATTCTAATTTGTTCTAACAGAAAACTCAGTTGCCATTTTCTGCCATTTTTGCAAGCAACCGTAAGCAAAGAAAAAAACCACTTGAAAGGAGCCAGGGCACACAACCCTAAAGAGATGATCCATGCGTGTGTCTTGAAAGGCAAAAAGTTTTGGAAGAACCATAGTTTCTTTATAATAGGTTTTGTATCACAAGCAGATAACTGTCATTGTAGAAACAGCTAGATGGACGAAGTGGACTCTAAAAGTATTAGGGAACATGGCGTGGCCAGTGAGCTACTCCACGCAGGACAGCCGGCTCACTGTGCTGGGGGCTTGGTGGCTGCTGCCAGAACATGAATGCACTGCACCTTGTCCTCCTGTCCTACAGACCAGCCCCAGTGCTAAGTGCTGTCAAAGGTAAGGCTGTACTAGGAGGATACACACACCTGGTGAGCCCACCACACCATCAGATAGGAGAAAACTGCAATCCAGATGATGGAGCCCAGGAAAGTTATTGCAAAGAACTTCTTTGATGCCTGTGAACAGAATAAGTAAACAATTTAATTTTCAAATTCAAATTCATACAAATTCATACAAACTTGTTGTGCTCTCTCTCTAGCAAAAATAACAATAAGGTTTAAAGCTCAATGTCAAGCTCCATTTTAGGTACATCATTATTAATTTGTTGATTGAAGTACCTGATGCCCATATCTATCTTTAAAAGACTTCCTGGTCTCTAGTGC